TACATACATGTCTGCACACATGCCTATTTTGCACAAGAGGAAACTGAGGCTGAAGGAGGTAGTCACTTGTTCTGTTTGGCGCTGTGTCTGTGACCTAGAAACTGACCACGGAACAGTGTTCTTTTTTTTTTTTTTAAAGATTTATCTATCTATCTATCTATCTATCTATTTATTTATTTATTTATAAAGATTTATTTGTTTATACAAGCACTGGGTACAGTCAGAAGCGCGGGAGGGTGAGAGAATTCACCAGAGCCAGAGTGGGGAACAGAACAGGCAGAGTGACGAAGTACAGGACCCTCCTCGGTGGCTGGGGAACAGCCGGGGATCGAACTGGTGCTGCAGAGGCTGCAGGCAGCTTCACAACCCAGCGCTCAACCGCTGCCACCGGGGAGGCCCGGAACAGTGTTCTTGACAGTTGTCCACAGAGCTCCGCTTCTGTTGGGTCCCCATCACGTCGTTTTACTGCGACCTGATTGCCCCCTGCTTCCTTTTCCTTCTCCTCCATATGCCATAAGCCCCACTGAGGTAAGGACTGAATTTTGTTCATCTCATGTAATGTTCCCCCAACCCCTACAAGGTGAATATCATTATTACTATTTTACCTAAAGGAAAGTGTAAGTAGAGGCATCTAAATTTTTTTCATGACTAGGTAGGAAGTACACAAAAGGGAGAATTGTAGCTGTTTTGATGTTGGGTGGAGTAATTTAGTTTCAGGTTATATAAAACGTTCAACATGTATTCTGCAATTTCAGTTTATATGTCCAGTGAAAAAAAGAATATGAAGTGTGGGCCTCCCTGGTGGTGCAAGGGGTTAAGCACAGCACTATGAAGCAATCCACAGCCTTGGCAGTATGAGTTTGATCCCCGGCCAGGGAGCTACCCACATGGTAGCTGCAGACCTCTCCTGACTCACCCCCCCCATCCCCCTCAGCCGTGTACTTCAGTCAATCTCTCTGTTCTGCTCCCCGCTCTGTCTCTGGTGAATCCTCTCACCACCCCCCCATCTCTGGCCTGTACCCCAGTTCTTGTATGCATAAATAAATCTTTAAAAAAAATGAAGTGTTATGTATATGGTACTATCCTGACATTTTAGCTTTGTATGTACTTATAAATCTGTAGGGGAAAACCTGGCTTGTTCTCTGTTAGAGGAGCACTTGGTGGGGATTGGGCTTAGTCAAGGTGACAGAGTTCTTTGGCCTGTGACAGGCGTCCTTGGTTATATTTGGATGATGGGATTGCCAACAATTTTTTTCTACATGTATTTTTGTCTTCCAAATTCTCTTAAAAAGGAGCTTGTATTTTCTTTTATAATTATAAAACATCATTTTAAATAACTAAGTCCAAAAAGACTGGACACTAGGAGACAAGAAGGGACATTCACAGCAGCCAACAGCAAGAAAGAGCAAATGACAGAAGTGGGAGATGTGATGGTTATGAATCTGGAACTGGCCTCATACACTTGGCAGATGCTCAGCAAATCTGGTTTCATGGGCAGGTTCTACTGGCCTGGGTGGGCTTCTCCCTTCAAGCAGAGCTGAGATTGATAAGGTTTAGCACCTCACACTGGTCAAGTTGGCTTGTAAGTCAAAGCCTCCCACGCTTAAATGCCCACAGGTCACTCGCCTGCCTGGATGTGCACTGGGGAGCTTTTCAAAGAACAGATGTTGGCTTTGGGATTCACAAAGGCTGTTCTTGCACAATTTTTCCTAGGTGGGAGTTTCCCTCCCACATTACCTATATCCACTGAAAGCTACTTCTTCAGAGGCATCTGGCTAATTTCATTGTATTTCCTTTCACCAAAGCAGAATTGGGGGACATGACCAGCACTTTGGCTGAGGCAGTGTGATGGAGAGGCAAGGTACCTGGGTAGCTGTGGTGGGTCTCAAGCTGTCAGATCCCCTCTTCTGACTTCAGTCATTGGTAGACCAGGGTGGCTAGATGTGGCTGTGGGTCCCTTTATTCAAGAATACAATAGGGAAGGCCAGTTTTATACACACATGCACGCACGCACGCGCGCACACACACACACACACACACACACTTGCAAGGCTTACCTTATCAGCTGTCATCTTACAGAGAAAATTCAAACCATGGTCCAACCACTATGGAGAGCTGTGTGGAGATTTCTGGGCCTACTAAACATAGAGCTTCCATATGATCCAGCAATTCCACTCCTAGGTATTTACCCAAAGGACACAGAAACATCAATTCCAAAGAGCACCTGCACCCCTATGTGTATAGCAGCACTGTTTACAATAGCTAAGCTTTGGAAACAACCCAAATGCCCAAAAATAGATGACTAGATCAAGAAGATGTGGTCCATATACACCATGGAATATTACTCAGCCTTCAAAAAAGATAAACACATGCCATTTGCAGCAACATGGATGGAGCTGGATCATGCTCAGCGAAATAAGCCAACATGGATCATGCTCAGCGAAATAAGCCAGAAAGAAAAAGAAAAATACCGGATGGTCTCACTCATAGCAGGAATCTAGAAAACTTAAATAAGGGACCAGGAAAATAATAACTATACGAAAGAAAATATCAAAATCAACAAACAACTATGAACCAGAGACACTCTATGGGGGTGGGGGGCGGGGAAGGAGGGATTGGGGTCAAAATAAGGGGGTTGCAATTGTATGGGGAATATAAAAATAAAATTAAAATTAAAAAAAAAAAGAAAAACAAACAAACAAACAAAAGAACATTCAAACCATAACTTCTATTTCCCCCAGCCCTGGTGGGTTAGATGATCTATAAAGTAGTAGCTTTCCATCTTGCTGACATTACAACAGCTTTTACAGTGAAACCCAGAGCACACACTTCATGAAACACTTAACCTACATGTGATTAACACTCAAATTGACTATTCTACTTTTGTTTTTTGTTTTTTTTTAAGATTTGTTTATCTATGCATACAAGAGCTGGGGTACAGGCCAGAGATGTTGGGGGTGAGAGGACTCACCAGAGACAGAGTGGGGAACAGAACAGGCAGACTGACTGAAATACACTGCTGAGGGGAGCAGTGGGCAAGTCAGGAGAGGTCTGCTGCGCCATGTGGGTTGCTCCCTCGCCAGCCGGGGATCAAACTCGTGCTGCAGAGGCTGTGGATTGCTTCATAATGCTGTGCTTAACCCCTTGCACCACCAGGGAGGCCCTACTTTTATTCTTTTAACGCTGGTTGCAACTACTGGGTCTCAACCTGCAATTTTCAAATCCCTTCCCTAAGGTAGTTTCCATCTGGCGTGTGTCCGCCCCATCTGGTGAGGTATCCATGTCCTGTGCACATCAGAGCCTCCTCCCTTCTGATGCACCTGCAATGAAGAGCATCCAGGCAAAAAACCCTTGACATGAAAGTCCACCAACTTACTATATATTGGTAAATGCTTCTGCCATGAGTTTTGGGAAAACCTGTATTTCGGACCCTTTCACATTTCCTTTGAAAATAGATTTGCATGACCAATTACGAACACAGCAATAGTTGAGTTCTGAGTCAAAAAATGTTTGGCATGAACTGATGGGTCTTTCAAATGAAAAATACTGCAAATGTGCAGTGAAAGTCAAGTCTGCTAGACTTTCGGAGCTGGTCTTTTAGGATTGAGATTGAGCAGATTTGGGCCCTCAAAGTATTAATGTGAAGCAATTTTCAACACCTAAAGTTGGAGTTCTCAGGATAAGCTACATCCCAACACTCCTAGTCACATAGATTTGGGCAATATTTCCACAATCATCACCTTCCACGACTGCTTACTGGACAGGTACATTGAGAAAAATACTGAGTTATCAGATGGTAGGAGAGCAACATTGCCCAGACCTGCATCTACCTGTTAAAGTTACTTTCCTGAGGCTCATGATTCAATAAAAGGGAATACAATTTGGTTTGGCCATAGTTCCCCAGCCCCAGCTGGGGAAAAAGGGCACGACCAACACTTCGTAAGTGCAATGTTAGACTCTTGAGAGCCCTAGGTCCGAAACTACAGGCACAATTTCAGAAATAGTCTCCTGCAAATACAAATCAGCTTACAATGTATGGTTTATAGCATACGAAAACATTCAGCATCAGGGAAATGCAGAACCAACCACAGTGAGGCACTGCTCATGACCGGCTAGGACGGCAAGTGTCGGCGAGCATGCGGGAAACGAACCCTCACATACTGCCAGTGTTCAAACGTGGCAGCTGCTTTAGAAAACGGCCTTGAAGTTTCTCAAAAAGTTACCACATGATGAATAATTTCACTCCTAGGGGCTTGTCTGTGTGTATGAAAGAGAAACATGGTCACACTAAGACTTGCATGCAAAAATTCATAGCACCTTTATTCATGATAGCCGCCAAGTAGAAAACAGCCTACATGTCCAACTGATGATTGGATAAGCAAAGTAACAGTATATCCTCACCAGGGGATACAACTCAGCAATAAAAGAAATTAAGAACCATGGATGAAGCTGTAACACATTGTGCTAAATACAAGTCAGACACAAGCAGCAAGACATGTTCTAAGGATTGCAATGAAATGTCTGGCATAGACAAGTATACAGACGGAAAGCAGTTGCCAGGGGCTTGGGGTGGGTCAGGAGAATGGGGAATGGCTGCTAATGGGCATGGGCCTCATTTCTGGGATGATAATGTTCTGGGACAGTGGTGATGGCTGCATGGCTTTGGGAATATAGTTGCTATCGCTGAATTGTTAACTTTAAAATAGTGAATTTCACGGTGAATCTAATCTTAAAAAAAGAACTGCACTCAATACAAGGGTCAGTTTTTAATTTTTTACATCGTTCATTTTTAAACAGTATTTGCTTCCCCCCACCCCCTCAGGTGTAGTCCCCAGTTTCCTTCCCCAATGCACCCGTGCACCATCACCTCAGTCCCCTGTGCTCCTCCCGCCCTCCCCCCTCCACAGTATGTCTGATTTATAGTTGTCTGCAATTGCTTTGTTGTGCTTTATTCTGTTATTTTTTTTAGAATAGGGTTAGTTTTTTTTAAAAAAAAAACTTTTTTGGTCATCTAAACTAAAATTTGCCATAATTATTAAATTACTAGAATGTATACATATCCTATAAATTGAGAAATTAGTGACCTCATTGCTGTGTATCAGGTAACAACTCTAAATCTTCAAAAACCATTAAGAGGAGGAAAAGGCAGCACTTTCAAAGGTCAAATAACTTGAGCAAAGTTACAGTAGAAAGCTATGGTCTCCCAAACTACGTCCTGTCCACTCCCAATTGTCTGTGTTCTCAGTGGGCGAATGCTCCTTGAGGGCAACAAAGGTCATGTACTTTATCATTCTACTCGGCGCAAACCCTAGCGGCACACAGACAAGGAGAGGCAACGCTGGTCAACTAAACTTACTCATCTGTTCATCCAATATTTGTGCTCCTACTAGTACCAGGCACTGAGGAGAGGCATGAACAAGGCAAAGTTCTTAGGGACCAAGCACGCATCTTAGGTAATGACTGCTATACATGAAAATAAAGAAGAGAGGGTTAGCGAAGCCTGTCTGAGGACAAATAAGGGAATAAGCCGTCAGATAAGGGGGCAAAGGATGAGAATGAGGGAGGGAACAGCGGAAACAAAGCCCCTGAAAGAGAAATTAAAGTTGAGGGATTTGAGGAAGTACAAGAAGCAGCCATGGCTTGAACAGATTTAGTGGAGATGAAACTGCAGAAACAGATTTGGCTCCATGCTGTGGGGTTTCACAGGCCATCGTCTCAAGTCTGGTTTTACTCTGAGGCAGAAAGTTCTGAGGGTTTTGAGCACAACTTGGATTGCACTTAGCCTGTTGGGAGCAGATGGCCTTTGTGTGTGGGCCTCAGGGTGGACAATACTGCCATCACTGTTACCGACTCAATTTTGAGCAACTGAGGGTGGCAGATACTAAAATGAGACAGGAATAAGATCAGAGGATGGTATTCTAAAAATTCTATTTTGGACATGCTTTGCTTGGTATGCCTTCCAGATATCCACATGGAATTATCAAGTAGGTAGCTGGTTTAGTTCGGAGAAGTTTAGATCAGGAAGAAATTTGGAAGATCAACAAAAAGAAAACATTTAAAGTCCAGGACTAGAAATTAAATGTAGGGAAGACCACAGAGGACAAAGAAAAACTCCATCATTTCAAAGGACCCACTAGAGACTAACCTTAATAGGAACAGTTCAGTCTAGTGGAGAAACGAAAGCCTACCGAATAAACGGGTAAGCGAATAAAGGAATTCAATGAATGAATAAATGAACTAGCTTCCCAGTGATGTTCACTGCTTTGTTCATATCGAAAGGTGTGAGTCAGCAACAACTATCTTAGAAACTGGGTATCCTGTGCCTTTCCTGAATCACAGAACTATAAAATTAAAAGATCCTTGGAGACTCTTGCTGAACACATAGATGGATTCTATTATTAATCAGGGAGAGTCCGTCCAAACTACTTTAGTTCAGTCCCTACAAAATCAGCTTCATTAAGCTTCTGCCTTATCACAAGTCATTTAAAACGAGTGAAAACGGCCCATCTATGTTTGTGTCCTTTAGGTAAAAACTTATAGCTATTTTCCTAAGATTAAGACTGGTGAGCAGTTGTTTATTTTTTGCTTCAACTGCCATATAATCAAATTAATTAATTGCCCATGTGTCAACCCCTTCAGTTTAGATTCATGTCAAAAATTTCACATCACTTCTTTCAAATGAATGTTGTTGCTTTACTTTTTACAATGTTATCAACTCCAAGTTTTTCACAAATTAGTACACTTTGCTGAATCTTATATACAAAAATAACTTGATGGTAAACAGGCAAACATTAAAAATATCACACAAGAGGTTGCTCCAGCCACTTCTTAGTCTTCATTAACTTCCTGCAGCACAGCAGGTTCCTTCTGCCCCGGGGTGTAGAGACTGCCTGCTCTGCCTAAAATGCCATCTTCGCCCATGCCTAGTTGGCTTGCCTTCCAGATATTCAAATGGCCCTGCCCATATGTATGTTCCAATCACACTGTGCGTTTTCCTTTCACAGTTCTTACATTATTATAAAATAGGTAAAACCTTGACTTCATCACTTTTATTTCTCTTGCCTAATCCTCACTCTATTCAGACATGCTGAGGATGTAAAAACGTGGGCACTGTATGATTTTTAAGAAAGTTCGGTTACTTGCAGTATTGAAATGAGTTAAATAAAAGGGAGTGGCCAACATTTTTAAATTTAGAAATTTATTCTGTTTAATCCACAAGCTTTATATAGCTTTAGTTTAAAAAAAAAAAAAAAAACACAATGAAAACAAGACACTATTTCAAAGTCTGGGCCCCTTCCAGCTTTCCAAGTACAAGAGCTCTGAAAGTTGTATATACCAATTGGAAGAACAAGACAAAATTATGAATGGAGCCATGACATTTCATAAAACAAAATTTTATATAACTGAAGGATCCTCCCTGTGACTACCTGCCTTTACAAAAAGGAAAAAAAAAAAAAAAAGAGAACAGAATAGAATGAAATTCCAGTGTTCCAAATCAACTTGTTACACATCAATATAAACCGACAGTGTCCTGGCAAACAACATGCTTTCATTTTGTCTCATTCTAGAATTCAAATCCCGATTCATTTCAGCAGACTCCACAGGCAACAGGAAAGATCGTGGCATAGAGATACTCAATCATACTTCTGCGGTAGTTAGACAGTGGTCTTATTTCTGGTCAAGCTTGCAAACCATACAAGGTCAGAAGCATCATAACTTAAACGGGTGCTAAGACTCAAAGAAAAAGGAAGAAAAAAAAAGAAAAACCTCTGGGAATAGCCAGGGGCATTTAAAGGAACCATAAGAATGCCAACAATATTTAAACCCCCTTTTTTAAAAAGGGGATTTTTTTTTTTGGCTTAAAATATTTCACTCTAAATGAATTATGTCAGCCGTCGATGAAAGAATGTCACGAATACACTGTGGACACCTTTTGCAATGTATATCCATGCCCCCCTTTTTTTTTTACACGGTGAATTTCAACCTAGCAATTATTACAACAAATGTTATAGTCTAAAGCTCAAACACATTTTAGCAATTTTGAAATTGAATTGCGTACAAACCAAATAAAATTTACATCATAACAAACATTTCCCCCTAAGACTGTGGGGACACTTGAGCCTTCCGCATTGATCTCAGGGCCTTCTCACGCAGGTGCTTTTCTAAGTCATCCAGGTTATCTTCAGCTTCACTTTCAGTCTCCTAAGAAAGTCAGAACGGTAATATGGCTAAGTTTTGAGACAATGGTGGGAGATAATGAACACACAACAGTATCTTGATGCAAACGGTAGTGATAACTGCATACTTATAACTGCATACTTATGAATACACTAAAAGCATTAAAATTGTGTATTTTAAGTAGATTAACTTATGTTAGTTGTTCCTCAAAGAAGTTACTTTAAAAATATACGTTAAACTTTTTGGCAGTCATCTGTGTTACCATCCTTGGTCTTGGGCAAATTGCTGTTCTTGAGAGGTCATCAAGAAACAGATCAGTAGAGAGGTAAACAGCCCAACAGCCAATTGTCAGAAAAAAATTTACTTCTCAAAATCAGGTAACTGAGTCATTTGTATGAACTGCAAGAGTGTCCATAAATACCTTCTTAGGCTCTGGCTCTGCCTCTGGCTCTTCCTGTGCTGATGTGGCTGCTGGAGCAGCAACAGCTATCGGAGTTGCAGTAGCTGCAGCAGCTGCAGGAACAGCCTTTTCTTTCTTGTGTTTTTTGTGCTTTTTGTGCTTCTTATCCTTTTTATGTTTTTTGTCCTTCTTTTTCTTCTTCTTCTTCCCACCTCCTTCTTGGTCCGAATTCTAAAAATTCAGAGATATAACAGCAATAAAATCAATTAGATTGAAATTCTGCCTAATAAACATTTCTCAAGGGAGTAACTAAATGGACAAATCTCAGGATTTCATAAGGCTTTGGGGGGGGGGGGGGGTCAAACTCCATTCACCACCAAAAGAAGTATTCCTAGAGATGGAAACCACACTCAAACAAAGATATTCCTCACAGATTTTAAGAGTTTACAATTTCCAGGCCTCCCTGGTGGCGCAGGGGTTAAAGTCTCAGTGCTATCAAGCTATCACCAGCCACTGCAGCACGAGTTTGATGCCTGGCCAGGGAGCTGACCCACATGGCGCAGCAGACGTCTCCTGACTCGCCTGCTGCTCCCCTCAGCAGTGTATTTCAGTCAATCCGCCTGTCTGCTCCGCACTCTGTCCCTGGTGAATCCTCTCACTCCCTGCACCTCTGGCCTACACCCCAGTTCTTGTATGTATAAATAAATCTTAAAGATGAAAGAAAAAAATTAACTTCACTCATCATTCCTGACTTATCATCACTGTCAACATTACGGTATCTTCTTTGTGATTGAAATCAAACTACACAATCTAAGATATGAAGTTTTACTGATTTTGTGATCTTAAGTAGTGCCCCCAAATGTGTCAAACACTAACGAAGACAGGTAACTGAACCATGGGTAATTTCTTTTTCTATGCAGTTCAATCTTAATCATCCAAATTCTTGAAAATAGCAGTATTAGGATTAAGCATGGAACACTAATGCAACCACCACTTAATTTGTCTCTCTTTGAAGTCTACCTGGTTTATAGAAGAGAATGTTCTGAGCTGCAAAAGACAAAACCATTTCTCTGCTTCCGATGACCACACACAATTATAAAGGATGCTCAAAACTGTGTAGACACATACCCTTGCCGGTGACGGGCTTGGTGTGGGGCTTTTAGCCTTTTTGACCGGTACCGCTGGTGACCAGTTAGTAGAGGGTGACTGAGACTGGACAGGGGATGGAGGTGCTGGGGGTTTTTTAGCTGCTGGCTCAGGAGATCCTGAGACAGATCGGGAGGACGAAACTCTTCTTATAGACTGAGGACTTTGTGAGGCAACCCTAGGAACGGGAGAATCAAAACATTTAGTATCCAAAAAAAGGTATCTTTTCTAAGAGAAAATAACCAATTAGCATCAGAAAACCTGGTCACAAACTTTAAATATTTTATAGCACTGTTTGCTACTTGATTCTACTAACACATCAAAAGCATTATCACCTAAGTCTCCCGGAGAGTAGTTGGAAGTCTCACAACTCTACCCACTCTGTTCATCATTCTTCCGGCATGAGATTAGTAATGCCAATTCCTTCTACTTTATTTAAGACTTCTTAACAAACAAATAAATAAATAATAAATCTTTAAAAAAAAAAAAAAAAAAGACTTCTTTAATAAGTCTTAGGTACACAAAAAATATTCAATGTTCTGTGTCACTTCAGAATTTACTTTTGGAAGGATGTGCCTCAATAAAACTGATACTCCCAAGAATCTAGCAACTTCTGTGGCATTTAATTTATGCCATAAGAACTATTCTGGGAACAGGGAAAAAATCTATGAAAACTATCTAGAATGTGCCTTAGAAGTTTGTATTCACAGGTTATTCTTTTCTGTAATTTCTTTGTAAAGGGAGGGGAGAAAAAGCAGCCAAAAATAAAGAGCTATGCCAAGTTACGGGTGCCTAACAAAAGAATGTGAGATTTTTACTTTTTTGTCTTTTTGGGTTCCGGAGTCCTGGAGACTCTCCTAATGGGCCTAGTACTTGGAGATGGGGACTGTCTTCTTTGGGGAGATGACGATGCTCCTCTTCGAACAGGTGGAGGACTTGAGGTTTGAGGAGCTCGAGGCCGTGGTGAGGGCGAATGCCGTTTGTTTGGTTGTGGTGACCGGCCCTCCCGGGTAGATCGGCTCGGGGAAGACCCTTTCCTATGCTTTGATGACAATGAAGGTGAACGTCTCTTGGTGACTGGGGAGCTTCTTTGCTTGGGAGGCGGAGAATGGGAGACACGACGCTTTGGTGGTGGAGATGGTGAAGCCCTGCGTTTAGGAGGGGGAGGGGGAGAAGCTGTTCTTCTCTTTGGAGGTGGAGATGGAGAGTATCTCCTCTGTATTGGAGGAGAGTATCTTCTTGGGGAAGGTGAGCGTCGACGTGGGGGAGGTGAAGGAGTCCTAGGGGGAAAGATACATCATATGAAGTTGAACGTCCAACAGGAGACTAGGATGCAAAGAAAACTAGCTCTGGCTATACTCTATAGCTAGCACTAGGCAAAGTGAACTATGTTTCAACATGGAAATGCTGTATCTTTATTCAAGTTGAAAAAAGTCATTGAGTAAATTTCTGTTAGGATATTCCATATGACTGGTTAATGGAGAATTACATAGCTTTCAGAATGAACTCAAATTTGGCAAGTCATTTAACACAATTCATATGCAATCAGTTTAATGCATTTTGAGCAGAGAATTTCACAATGCTTTGAGGAAACTGTGACTATAACATTTAGTAATTAGGTAACTACATTAACCAAGACTACTGATTGTGGTCAGATCACCCAAGCATTCTCCATTAAAAAGTGCTCCCACTGGCCTCCCTGGTGGCACAAGGGGTTAAGACGCAACCTATGAAACTATCCGCAGCCACTGCAGCACCAGTTTGATCCCCAGCCAGGGAGCTACCCACATGGCGCAGCAGACCTCTCCTGACTCGCCCACTGCTCCGCCTCAGCCGTGTATTTCAGCCGATCTGCCTGTTCTGTTCCCACTCTGTCTCTGGTGAATCCTCTCATGCCCCACACCTCTGGCCTGTACCCCAGTTCTCGTATGCATAAAGAAATCTTAAAAAATAAAATAAAAAAGTGCTCCCATGTGGTGCCATATATAAACTGGTACTTTAACTCATAGTTAAAAGTTATCTCTACCTTCTTTCAAAGAGACAAGACTTGAATATTCTGTCTCAAAAGACCACTTTTCAAGGGAAGTCTATTGTTAGGCAGAATACATTCTCATGAGTAGCCAAAATTGGTCTTTCTCTCTTAATATTTAATCCAATATAACTAACTTGCCTCTTAGGAATTAGACCTGAATATTAACATTCAGGTTCAACTGCCTAATATGTCCTGAAAAGTGAAGCTCAGCTCAAAATATTTTCTTTCTGCAATCAACTTTACAAAAAGACCATCTTTTGGACTATGTGGTATAGCACAATTCCGTTTTGCCCTTGGCAATTACTTAAGATCTCTGAATCTTCATTTCTTCACCAGGAAAATGGGAACAATACCATTAACCAAGCAAGAGCATCTTCAGGACCAGAGATAAAGTATACGCTCTATCTGGCACATAATAGGTATTCAAGAGTGGTAATGGTCACGGTAGCACTTAGTAATGTATTGGAGCAATGACATTACAATCTTTCCCCCTAATTTTATTTTGTAATCATTTTAGATGTATAAAAGAGCTGCAAAAATAGTGATTTCCACTGAGCATCTTATATAACCACTGAAAAATTAACTGCAGTACTAACTTGGCACTAAATAAAATAACAACACTGTAGTTTTTTCCTCATGTCCTTTTTCTGTTCCAGATACCAAAATTCAGGGTCCTACACTGCATTTAGTTGTCACATATCCTTAGTGTCTGCCATTACTTGTGACTGTTCCTCAGTCTGTCCTTTATGACTGACATTTTTGAAGGCACTGGTCAGATGCCTTGCAGAATGACCTTTAATTTGGGATTGTCTGACACTTCTTAATAATTACATTGAAGCTCTGCATAATTAGTAGGGTACCAGGAAATAAAGAGATGCCAGTATGTACTACCTGGGATGTTAACTTTGACCTCTTAGTTAAGGAGGTATCTGCTGAAATTCTCCACCAAAATCTTTTCCCTTTGCAATCACTAAATTGAGTAATTCCACTTTTAATTTAACACCTTTACTGATACAAGATCTACATACCATAAAACCCACCCATTTAAAGTACAAGTTTCAATGGTGTTAGCATATTTACAGTTGTACATTCTCTCCCCCCACCCCACCTCACCACTGATTACTATCTCTATAGATATAGGGTGTGTTCTTGACTTTTCATATAAAAGCCACCCTGTGATTTGTAGTGCTTAAATGAGCAATGCTACTCTAATAAGACTATTTCAATCAGAGACTGAAGGTTTCTCCAATTAGTTCCACCATCATCTATGAAGAAGTACCTTCGTCGTGGTGGTGGTGGTGTGGGAGACCTGCGCCGTCGAGGAGGAGGAGCTGGAGAGGGAGATCGTCGCCTTCTGGTAGGTGGTGGGGATGGACTTCTCCTCCGTCTACCACTACTAAAGCAGAAAGAATTACAGTCGATTCTGAGTTAGTAGCATGTATAAGTAAGTGATCTAGAAGACAGAGTTTCAATCATTGTCAACCCAAAGTTCAGCAGCCCTAACTCAGAGCAGTGTCTGTTAACTATATATCAAGAACTGTAGTCAAGACCCAGGATGAAAAAGTTTTTTTTTTTTTTTAAAGAAAATCAGACTGTTTTACTTGTGGTACAGGGAAGTATTTCGTGGAACTTTTCAGTATGTAAATGTTGACTAAGTCATAATATATATGTATACATATGTATATACGTATACATATACATACACACACACATTCTTAACATGATGCATACTGTTGAAAAGTATGAAAATACTGCTTTAGAGAGTTACTTTTAAAAAATTGGAATGCACATTAGAACCCCTGGGAAGGAAGTTTATCTCAGTTTTGTGTTCCCCAGGTTTGAGCTCTGGCATAGCTGGTGTATTTTGAAAAGATTCTCTAGATGATTCTGACTCCTTGTTAGGAACTTCTTTAAAGCCTAGAAAAAAAACTGTTCTAATACATAAAGTTTAAGTTTTAATTTATTAGTCACAACTAAATCTGGGCGTCACTACTCTCAGTTCCTGATTTTTTAAGATAGATTTCTATTGTATAAGCACTGTATACTCTAAACTAAAACACTCCCAAACACAAATGAACAGAGTTGTCCCAGCCTAACAGCTACAGGAACAATGTGACTAAAATATCGACAAAAAACCTAAACTCCGCACTGTTAAAAACTTCACACAAAGGGGCCTCCCTGGTGGTGCAGGGTTAAAAATGGTGCTATGAAGCTATTGCCAGCCACTGCCACGCGAGAATGATTTCCCGGCCGGCCAGGGAGCAACCCACATGGCACAGCAGACCTCTACTGTCTCACCCACTGTTCCCCTAAGCAGTGTATTTCAGTAGATCCGCCTGTTCAGCTCCCCACTCTGTCTCTGGTGAATCCTCTCACTTCCTGCACCTCTGGCCTACACCTGTTTTTATATGCATAAGTAAATAAATCAATCTTAAAAAAAAAAAAGTTTTTTGATTTTAGTCTCCCCTTTAAAACTAAGACGGGTTCAGGGCCTCCCTGGTGGCACAAGGGGTTAAGACGCAACCTACGAAGCTATCCGCAGCCACTGCAGCACAAGTTTGATCCCCAGCCAGGGAGCAACCCACATGGCACAGCAGACCTCTCCTGAACTCACTTGCTGCTCCCCTCAGCAGTGTATTTCCGTCGATCTGCCTGTTCTGTTCCCTACAGTCTTTGGTGAATCCTCTCACCCACCACACCTCTGGCCTGTACCCCAGTTCTTGTAAGCATAAATAAATCTATCTTTAAAAGAACCCCCCCAAAAAACCACCTAAGACAGGCACTACTTGGAGAAGCCAGCCCCCTTTACTAGCAGGGTCCACCAAGAATTAGGCACCTGGAGATACAGGATGACTGTTGTTTCACTAGATAATCAAGATTTCAAACGGGAAAAAGGTTATTTGGATTTTAACTTAAAGAAAAAGGTTTATACTTGCAAACCCTGAGAATGAGGTGATATAAAGCAGAACTCCCAGTGTGCTATCAGTAGGTATAACAATGGCATAAAAAGCTATTACTATTGATTCTGTCTTCTTTAAAAATAGGCCCCCAATTTCAGTTCACAGAACAATCAGAAATTTTCACTAAAAAACTGAACTAAGATAGAATCTATGATATACCAATGATCTGAGATACTTATTCTAAAGGAACTAAAAGGTTCCTTTAAGTGATGACCGCCAATGCACTGGGTTTCTATGAGCGAAAAAAAAAAAAAAAAAAAAAAAAAAAGAATGACAAAAAATAAAACTAAACTAGCATAACTTAAAGAACTGACAGCAAAGGCTGATTATCACTTATAACCGGTCTTAACACAAACGTCTCTATAAACTGATAATTATAGTTTCTTACCCGAGCCTAAAAGGACTACATTTTAGAGGTTGAAAGGAAAAAAAAAAAAAAAAAAAAAAAGCTAAGCATTATCTAGTTACTCTGAATACTAATGCCAAGTCAAGCTTTCAACCATGGGTACAAATTGCTGAGTAAGGAAGTTACCCCTAAACTATGAGAATCACAGCATTAATACGCCTCAACATGTGACATAGCCCAAGTATGTAGTAACAGACAAATCTTATTAGAAGGAGCCAGCTTTTGATCTCTTCAGTGACCACTTCAGCTCCACCTCACTTCCCCAGCTACAATAGTAATGAAGTCAAAGTTAAAAATCTAAAATGATTTTTACACTAAGTATGACCAACATACCTTGCAGTATAGGTACATATTCCTTGTAGGACTATTCAATACCCAAAGCCAAGTGTTGGAGTATGGAAAAATGTTTTCCAATGTCTAAATTTTACGTTATGAAATATCTGAAACCAAACTATTTCCCCTCTTAAAATACAATACTGAAGCAGGATTCCAAAGAATTCTTTTCGCATCTCTAAATCCTAGGCCACTGATGACAATTTCTAACATTGCTAAACTTTAAAAAAACATTATGTTCATTGAAGTATCACTGATTTACAACACTGTGTATGTTTTAGGTGTATAGGTTCACACCTCTGCACATCTTTTATACCACACCCACTTGAGGCCACTTCTTAATGAGAAAAGGGAAAAAAAAAACCCCAGAAAACAAAACCCCTAGAGCAGGGGTTATAAACATTAATGTTGATTTCACTGTTGTGAGGCAAGAAATCACTTTCCAATATAGAAAGTAGCTCCATAATCAGGGCAAGAGAAGAAATTTTATCACTAATATGATTTTGTTAAGCAACGTTTTAGCCAAACTAGCAATTTTAGAAAAGCAAGGGTAATTATAGCTGGAAACAACATACTATAGCATATGAACTTATTTTTAAGGTTTTCATTGTTATTGCCAAAGAAAACAGTTACTTCCACAGAGCAAATACAGTGTTTTGCTCCATCACAAACACTGCTGACTGGTTCCAAAGAACCTTTCCAATAGACCACTTTTATTAATAAATCTACCTAAAGCAACGCAGCTTCAAATTGAGCTACAGGAGGACAATGTGAAAGTCTCACAAAAGGTAAGTAGTTAGACATTTAATTGTACCGAGGATGACTTCTCCATCTCCCGAAACACAGAAGACTAGGGCAGATAGATAGCATAAAGATCGGGCATAGGGCTAAGCTCGGCGACACAGTTCTCAGTTCTGGTTTTGTCACTCTGTAACTAAGAAACCCCCCTTTGCCATTTCGGAGTCTTTGTTTTCTCACTATGAGTTAGGTCTAAATTAAGCAATTTCTACATGATTTGGCTCTAAAATACTGTGGTTTTATGGTCAAAAGGTTGATAATCAAAAAAGTTCATTTTTTCCTATAATAGGAACAGGGCCAAAGCCTTACATTAATTTTTCATCTTTTTAAAGTCTCCCCCTAGTTTTTCTTGCATTCCCTAAAGTCATCACAAACTCCCTCCACTCTAAATCTCATGAACTATTACTATTCTTTATTGGAAACATCTAGATACTATATCTGCACAAAAACCCAAGTTCAAACAATGCTCTAAAATGAATGCTGTGCCCATGTTTCATCAATTTCCTATGTAAAGAAATACAAACTAAAACAAATGAGAAACTTCACCAGCACCACGCCCATACTATATCCAGGGATAGGATAACGCTGTCTAGACAGTTAATTAAATCACTAACACTTTGACATGTAACCCTAGTTTACAAAGTAGTGTCTAACCAACCTTTTAGTCATTGGCGATTGCCATCGCTTTCCCATCTGCATCCTGAGAGCAGTGGAGAAAAACAAATGTCAAGAATTCCATTCACCATATTATTTACTTTAATGGCATTAGGTATCACTAATGGAGATATTTTCAAAAACGTTCAAAGATATTTAGTCTAATGTTATGATTTAAATGGTCTAATTTAAGTTATGCACACTCACGTCATGGTGGCACCAAACTTACTAAATTAAATAATAATAACCACCAAACAAAGCAAAGTTCCCCAAACAAAAATTGGAGTTAAACAAATTCTAAAGTAAGTTCATGGCCCATCCCATAAGTTATGATGTTTCATAACAACTACAAAACATCAGTGGAGACTATTGAAGAAAATACATTACCGAGGAGAAGTCTCTTTCTGGCGCTTTCGTGGTGATGGAGAGGCACTCCGGGAAGGGGAATGTCTCCGCCGCCTGCCTACCTCACCATTCTTCACATGGGACCGCTTGGGTCGCTCATCTTCTGAGGAAGAGGAAGAGCCAGAATCTATAATTACACAATAAACAAAAAATTTATTTTAGATCTATGTTAAAGAGTCTGTCAAGGTCTTCTGAATCTAAGTGGGGAGTGTTCAAGTTAGTAAGTCAAGTCCACTAACGTACGCACACACGTATATAAGTCATGTGCTGTGAATAAATGCAGGATCAATATATGCTGAGTAACTTGAAAGCTGAGCACAAACAGGTATACGTTATTATATTATAGAAAAACATTTCCACCGCACAATCCAACCAAAATAAGTTTCCCTCAAGAATCTAGTATTTGCAATAACTGAGAAAAGCTTAAAAAGCACCTTAAGCAATTACTTGGTTCTTGTTACTTTAAGCACTTTTATGGCTGCTATAGAATTTGAAAAGCGCACTTTCTTATCTAGCACTCACCAAATTAAAAAAAATGACATTTCTTACAGGTGTTTCCAAATATTAAAACAAGGCTCCATGTACCAAAAAATGCCCAAGACCTGTATGTATTTTCTAATCTTACTAAGATTAACCTCATTTAAGAGTTGCAATAGCTAGACAGCTTTTAACCAAATTCAGTGCCACTGTGGGAACGCTGTTACCCATTTTACAAATGAAAAGCAAAAGTAGTGTCTAGACTCAGTTACAAATACCAACTGAGCTAATATAATCAGAATATCTGCGTTTAAAACTTTGTATGCATGCACTCTATAATTTAGAAATTCTTATATTTTTCTATGTATGTGTATGTTTTATACATATATAAAAAAATAACTAGAGACAACCTAAATGTCCAAATAGAAACTGTCCCAATAAATTACAATACATTATTACAATTAAAGTATGCTACAGCTAATAAAAAATGAGGTAGAGCCCCAAGAACAGGTGAAGATGTTTAGATATATTAAGCTGAATAGGCAGGCAACAATCTACCCTGACTTTTCTTTTTAAATCTCTAACACTTATATGTGCGCAGAAAAAGTCTGGATAAATTTGGGGGTGTTAAGACTGGGTTAACAAAATAACTGTATTTTCCAATTTGTTTTTACTGTCTGTACTTTAGAAATCTATTACTTTTATAACTATGAAAGAAAAAGGCCTTAATGAAAAAAGGCCTCATATTTAAAGCTCAGTGAGAAATTCTTCCTCCCTTCCAACAGATTTCTATGTAGGCACATATTTTTTCTAAATAGACTTCACTACAAAAGTAGAAAAAGAATCAGTGCCCATACCAGACGAAGACTGCTGGTTCTGTCGTCTGTATTGGCGTCTCTGTTGTACAGAATCTGCTGCAGCCATTTTGCCACCTTTATCTTCTTCTGAAAGATGGATGCATTTAGAAAGTGTTTCTTTAGTTACACATACAGAAAATGTCACATGCTTGAATAGGAAAATGGTCTTTTAAACCTGTCTCTGGACCTCCCTGGTGGCACAGGGATTAAAGACAGTGCTGTCAAGCTATCACCAGCCACTGCAGCACAAGTTCGATCGCCAGCCAGAGAGCTAACCCACATACAAAGCAGACTGCTCCTGTCTCACCTGCTGCTCCCCTCAGCAGCGTATTTCAGTAGATCTGCCTGTTCAGCTCTCTACTCTCTCTGACGAATCCTCTCACTGCCCCCCTCCACCTCTGGCTTATGCCCCAGTTGATGTATGCATGAATAAATCAATCTTTAAAAACAAACAAACCTATATCTAGTTGGGTCAAGCAAAACAACCACTGTATTCTTTTACAGAGAAGCAGCTTAAAATGACAATTCAAGGGGCCTCCCCGGTGGCACAACGGTTGAGTGCTGGGTTGCGAAGCTGCCTGCAGCCTCTGCAGCGCCGGTTCAATCCCTGGCTGCTCCCCAGCCACCAGAGGAGGGTCCCACATGGCGCGCAGACCTCTCCTGCTGCCCGCTGCTCCCCTCAGCAGTGTACTTCAGTCTGCCTGCTCTGTTCCCCGCTCTGGCTCTGGTGAATTCTCTCACCCTTCTGCACTTCTGACTGTACCCAGTGCTTGCATAAATATATAAAAATAAATCTTAAAAAAAAAAAAAAAAAAAAAAAGACGCAACCTATGGGGCAATCCGCAGCCTCTGCAGCACAAGTTCGATCACCTGGCCGGGGAGCTACCCACATGGTGCAGAGGACATCTCCTGAGTCACCCGCTGCTCCCCTCAGCAGTGTATTTCAGTCAATCCACCTGTTCTGTTCCCCACTGTCTCTGGTGAATCCTTTCACCACCCACACCTCTGGCCTGTACCCCAGTTCTTTTAAAAAAAAAAAAAAAAAAAAAAAAAAAAGGACAATATAAGCTACCTAAACTTATTTAGACATTTGCTCACAGATCGAGCTGAGCACCACATATTTTTATAACATTTCAGTTAACCATCAAAAAGCTAAAGGAAAATACTGCTATCCACATTTCAGAGATGGGAAAAGTAAGACTCAGAAAGTTAAGCAGTAAAGCTGGGGATTCGAACCAGGTTGGTGTGACTTAACCAGTTCTAACCATTAAAGCCAAATGCTATAACTAATCTTTAACTAGAAGTGGATATGCAAATGTGCAACAAAACCATCACTTGAAAAATATACAACCACCACCAACCTTCCACACACATCCCAAAGAAACTGAAAAGAACTTACCCGATTCAGATAACTCTACTTTTCTAGGCTTGGGTGCTGGGGAAGGAGACTCTCTTTTCTCAGTACCTTTATGTTTTGTCACTAAAACAAATAAGGGAGAAAAAAACGATTTACATATTGGGGGGGGGTCAATACAGCAAGACATCTGTGTAATAGTACAAAAAGATGTGTGACTAGTCTCATAAAGAATTCCTATGGGCCTCCCTGGTGGCGCAGGGGTTAAGTCTCAGCACTATCAAGCTATCACCAGCCACTGCGACAGGAGTCTGCATGAGTTCAATCCCCCACCAGGGACCTAATCCACATGGCATAGCAGACCTCTCCTGTCTCACCTGCTGCTCCCCTTAGCAGTATATTTCAGTGGATCCACCTGTTCCGCTCCCCACTGTCTCTGGTGAATCCTCTCACCACCCACACCTCTGGCCTGCACCCCAATTCTTATATGTAGAAATTTAAAAAAAAAAAAAAGAATTCCTGTAAGAATCTGGCATGTCTGAATATTACCTGAAGTGGAAGAATTTTTATGTTTGATGAAAAGTCTCAAACCAGTCCTATAATTAATTTGACTCTTGGGATTCTCCCAAAATAGTTAAGAGAGAACAGGAGTTATTTCTGACCAGAATGAGCTTTATGCTGTGTATAACATTCGGTTCACTGAAGCATAAACCCCTGTGTGCTACTATCCCCACCACCTAACACCTACACATTCAACTCTGAAGACCTCATCAGCATAAAAACAAAAACTCAATACAGGTGGTTTCAGAAGAATGATAATGATGATAAATAACTAAGAAAATAAGAGCTGATGAAACTTTAACAGAAAGATAGTTGGTCTGGAAAAATAAATTAACCCCCCCAAAAGTTGCGGGCTTTTTATGTAGAACATAAACTTAACAATGTAAACATGAGGGTCAACTACCTATAAAAAAGCAGACTTTCACAAAGGTTAAAAATAATTAAAACATTAAATAAGAGCATTCTTCCCAAAGCTTGGGGGGGAGGGGGCTTCAATGGCAAAGGCAGTTCTGAGAGCACCTGAAAGAGAACTATTGGTATCCTAAAATTATTCAACTTTCACAATTGTGAGGAAAATTATTATTATTCCAACTATGTTCTGTGTGCTTCTTCTAATTATTAAGCATTAGTGCTACTATCACTGCCCCATCTTAAAAAGAGGAGAGAAATCTGAGGCTTAAAAAAGAAGTGATTTCAAAGTCACACAGATAATTTAAGTGAACTAGAGCTCTGTTTATAACATCTCCTCCCAAGCCCACACTGCTCCAACTAAAATCAAAAGGAAGTACAGATACAACTATTAATCTTACCAAACATCAACTGAAAGATCATTTGGAGAACATTCCTCTAAGAACTAAACTAGAATATAATATAATCCCTTTAGAGTTCTTATATGTGTTTTATTTGATTTAAAGCAATTAATTTGGGGGTATCTGACCTAGAATGAAGACACATTTCATTTAACACTCATGTCAGAATTTTACAAAGGTTTATTCCATGGGGCAGTGACTTAGAGAACCAGTGATCCTTAAACAGCAATGCTATTCTTTGCCAAAGTTCAAAACGGAAGATAAACTATTACATTTTTTTCAATGATTAGCATTTTATGAATGATTCCACATGGAAGTCTTTTGGACAAACCATTGGATTTGGTAAAGAATGGCTAACACCTAATTAATAATCATGATATATGAAACAAGGTGGGAATATCAAAAGTAAGTTCAAAACTTGTATGTTTTAACCAATTCAAAGAAATGTAACAGAGCTGTTTCAATTTTTAAATATCTGAGGCTGTATTTCTGGTTAGTATTCTCCATTTTTAAATGTCAATTTATCATCAATTCTGGAAAAGAGATTACAGGTATCCAGTAATCTATAAACCCATATATCCAAGTTATTATCTTAGAGATTGAGCTCCAAAGTATGTTTGGAAGCCAGAATGCATTCCCATCAGAAACACTAAAAATGTGGTTGTTTGCCAAGACAGTTGGTAAATAAACACTAGTAAATAATATAAATGAGCTATAATAGCTACATCTCCCCTCATTAAAGGCTTAGGTAAAATAATTTCTAATTATTGTTAACATATTCATACCATTAGCCAAGGATCTATTATATACCATCATTCTGGTTTAATATGAATGATTCATAGCACTGTTAACACTACAAAAACTGGTATTTCAGTGAGGTTCCTATTTGAGATTTTAGTTTACTTTCTTATGCTAATGGTATTATTTTTAGTACTCAAGGGGCAAATTCATTCTAGCATGACATCAGGAATCCAAGCTGATTGAAAAACCAGAATTTTAAATTTATTCTGACAGTCCTATTAATTATTAATCTCCCAGCTTGCCTAAAAGATCACTTGTAAAGATAAATCACTGTAACTACTATCAGTAAAATAATCACTAAGTGTCTATAAAACACAATTATATGGCTAAGTTGATCTAAACTCAAATTACTACCACCACAGGTACAGATCCTCTGTAAACATTCTTCACTAACATTCCACTAAATTCAAAGCACTATTTTAAGAACTAAATACAATTTAACTATTACATACCAGATTCCAAAATGTTTACCAAAGCCCCCAACAAATGAGAACATGTACTGTACTCCCAGTTTATCTCTAAGATCCCCCCATACTTTTCATATTGCCCTCCCACTTTCATGTGCCTGTTATCAATGGCTGGACCTTCAGGCTCTGACTGGTGCCTACTATACGAAATAGAAATGTAAATATCTATTAAGTTCAATGATGTCAGCGCCCTTATTAGTCATGGAGCTAACAACAGAAACTCCTGAAATCAAACTACCAGGTATAGAAGCTAAAAACTTTTACCCAACGCCCCTATTTCCCTCCCAGCAATCAAAATTGGCATTTTTGCATAGGAAAGTTGGGCAAAATATACATTATTCAACTGGGAATAAGAACTCAAATTCTAGTCCTGGCTAGTTGACCTTGACCAAAATCAAGAACCTATTTCTTAATGACAATCGCTAAAGTTTCTAGCGCTGAGATTTCAGATGACTGTTATCATTTTAATATGGAAAGTTATTTCCAAGTAATGAGACCCAATGTGCAGATTAAGACAAAGCAATCTCTGACTATATATGCACTGTAAGACTCTCTTCTTTGGACAAGCAAGGCCAGTCTCAGAATCCACAGGAACATAATTTGTTATTTGTCTCCCACCATAACTTACTTCTCATCATTACAGAACCCACTGTGCTGTTTCCCAAAAGCAGCAGCCCACTACTGAGAGTAAACCAAAACACGAGAGGCTGGTTATCAGTGAAGACGCTGTTAAGAACTAACAGTTCTTAACAATCAACCTATCTTAAAGATTTTGTTCTCTTGGAACTTTTGCAACCCTTTGGTTATCTAATGAAAGATAGCATAACTTGACTGTGTTTTTGCAAAGTGATATTTGTAATACTTCTTCACTGAAGAGCTTTCTGGCTCCAAAGGAAAACACTCCATAGGAAAAGACAGCAGGCGTTATGATTTGGTTACAGTGACTGTCATCTATAGAATGAAATTTCCCCAATTTTGAACAAAAAGAAATATGGAACATGAGTTTATGAAAATATGGTCCCTATCCCCACATAAGTCTGAACTTAAAAGACAAGTTTATTTTCTAGTTACCTGCCCAAAGAACCAATGCAATAACTAATGACTACCTAATATCAATAGTTAATTACATACGAAATTAACCTAATTGTTAAAATTCAAAAGTTATGTTGTCTTTACTTGCAGGTCCCGATTCAGTGATAGGCCACCTATATCTTATTGTAACAAAAGTCAAAAAAAGCAAAACTGCTCTTCTAGATGTTTTCATATTACAGAGTTAAGGGAAGGGGAAGGAGAATGAAGCAGTGGGGTGACTAAAAATCACCATCTTGTTAAGATTACTAAAATATACAGCAAGAATTTTGTTTCAGACCTACCTGGTGGCCTAGGGGTTAAGTCTCAGCGCTATCATCTCTGTAGCCTGAGTTTGATCCCCAGCCAGGGAGCTGACCCATATATGGTTGCCGCAGACCTCTCCTGTCTCGCCCTCTGCTCCCCTCAGCAGTGTATTTCAGTATAAATCTGCCTGTTGTGCTCCCCACTGTCTCTGGTGAATCCTCTCACCCTCTGCACCTCTAGCCTACACCCCAGTTCTTCCATGCAAAGTAAATTTTGAAGGGAAAAAAAAGAATTTTTTTTCTCCCATTTTCATTTCTAACCCGATATTTTATTTCAAAGATTTAATTATTCATGCATGTAAGAAAAGGGGTTTAGGCCAGAGGTAGGGGGATGAGAGGATTCACCAGAGAATGAGTGAGGAGCAGAACAGGTAGACTGACTGAAATTCACTGATGAGGGGAGCAGTGGGCGAGACAGGGAAGGTCTGTTGCACCATGTGGGTTAGCTCCCTGGCCAAGGATTGAATTCATGCTGTAGCTGCTGGCGATAGCTTGATCGTGCTGGAGGTCTAACCCAAAAATTTAAATGCGATCAGAACCCTAGTATTTATTAACATAAATTTACTATAGTTGTTTTTAAGATCTACCCCTCCATTACTCACCTTTCAGGTGGTCTTTACCATTTCACCCTAAGTACCAGAAGTCCAATTCAAATGGACCCTATACTTTTTCTTCATGTGTATTTAATGCTAAAGGAACAAACCCCAGCAGACCATAACCTTCACTCAGACTAACACAGCATTCTACTTGCCTGGCAAGATCACAGATCTTAAGTTCCCCAGATACCAATCTGCACAATAAAGCAAGGACAACACTCAAGAGGAACCCTGCCTAGAGCCTGAATTAAAAAAAAATTTGCATTTAGGAGGACACTGTGTCCTCCCCCAGGGAGCACAACGTGGCCAAGAAAGAAGTGAGACAGAATATGAAATCATCTATCCTCAAGATATCAAACAAAAAAAATCTTCACAAGAAAGAAAGGCTAACTGGTCTCAGACTATTAATAAAATAATCCCTTATCATGACATGACACAAACTTCAGTGAATCAATCCAATTTAAATAGCCCCTAGCAGCTAATGTATTTCTTCTGCTGCTCAATGCCAGAAGGTATTGCTGGAAACAAAACACTTCTACAAGATAACTATTTCAATAAACCCAAGAACTTAAAAGAGAAGGGAATCCTCTAAACAAACTGACAAAGAACATCACGTACAAATATTACCCAGGCACTTCAAAGGGGCAGCAAGTACATTTTGTACTCACATGAAGAAAGAACACACTGTTAAAGTGTTTGACTTTTACCTTTACCTGAAGTTCTCCCTGGAGAGACAGAAACACGACTTTTTCTTGTACGGTTAGACTGCTGGGGTGTTGGGGAATGACGAGTTTTTGGTGGTGGAGTTGCTGGAGGTGATGGCCTATGCCTTCTCCTTGGGGGACTTGCAGAAGGAGATAACCTACGAGTTTTTCGAGGGGGGCTGGATGTCCTCTTAGGAGGCTTCTTTGGCGGTGACCGGGAACGAGATGAAGAGGATGATGAGCTACTCCCAGACAAAGATGCCGATGAACGCCGTCTTCTGCGAAACAAAATATTCCTATTCGTTAACTGCATACTAATATTTTTTAAAAATAGCCTTACAAGTATGAACAGTTTACACAAAAAGTTATTTTTATCCAACTTTTGAGTTTATGTAGCTAAGCATGTAAATGAGTTTTTTAAAAAATGGGAAACAAAACCATAACCTAGAAAGGAAACAGCTAGTTCTGAACTAAATATAAGTAACTTATCCTAAAATAAATGCTTCTGTTTGAGTTGTCTTTCCAGTTAGAAAATATGTCTAGTGCTACCATATAGTAACTAACCAGTCTCTTCCTGAGAATTGGTTATTGGTGTTTTGGAGTTTGCATACAAAATTTGGGTGGCAAAGTTTCTTCCACTTAATAACAATATCAAGCAACCTTGAGGTTGCACTTTTAAAGAAGAGATGTGCATGATTAGGAATTCATTTAGCTACATAAACTTAGAAGCGGTGGCCTCTCGAATTCTGCGGCAAAATTTGTGGTAATTCTATTGCAATTATGTGTACCTGCAGAATTCACCTTTGGCAGAAGAATTCCTGAGAACCTGAAAAAAAGAAACCCTACCTTAAGTGTGAGATAAAAACTGGCTGAAAGGGAATCTTACACAATCTGCAAATACTTTGACTGCTAAATGGTTTAGTAAGGACAATTAAAACACGCTGCTTGCAAAACTCCAATAAGAAGAAATAGCTGTTTCCACTAATCTTGTACTAGGAAAGCACCCAGAAGTACCTTCCTGTGGAAGAATAATCAATTTTAGAAAGGTGCTAAAATGACCATTTATATCATTGAATTTTACTTATCAGTAGTAACACCAATTCTGTAATTTTTAGTAGTTAAAAAAATAATTTAATGTGCCTTGACAAGCCTGCCACCTAAAGAAAAATCTGTCTTAAAAATACAGAACTCTGAAGAACCTCACAATGCAAAATAAGCAAAAACTGTTTCCCTTATTTCCAAGTTGATTTAGTTCCAAAAAAACCTCAGTCCTGCTAAGCATAACTGAAGCAGAACCATCACAAAAAGACACAAAACTCTGCTACCAATGCACCAGGTCTCAACTATACACAGAATTTAGCAACAATCTTCTCATTAAAAGCAATAGACCCAAACATATTATTTTTTGCTAACTTAAAAGTGATTTTTAAAAAAAGAACACTGGTACTAGCAGGGATACGATTAAGCCTAGTATCTTTTAAAAGTCACTCAACACCAAACTAAGAGTGGTTTTTATCGATGAAATCAGACTATGGGTAATTTTCAATTACCATTGTTTAAAAGCAGCTAACTGGCTCAATTAATCGCTTCAAAAACCAGTGGCAATTACAAGCCAGAGGAAGAGGAAAGGTGCCAATTACCAAACTGGGCAGATGTCCTGGTAGGGGCTGAAAGAGTAAACGTTAACAGGATCTATCAGTGTCAGATGGTGAATTTCTTGTTTTTTATTTCCCATCACTGGACTCGTGTTTTTCACTGCACAAGTGATAGCACTGCACCACAAGTGAGGCAGGCATCTAGTATCACCTGTGAGTTCTTTCTTTTTCCAAGGGACACTAATTCGAAGATTAGTCTACAGCAAATACACCGTGCACTTTCAAACACCTAACGCCTCCAAATAAGGGGAGGGGGCGGGGAAAAAAATCAGGAAAACCCACCGTCTCACTGGAGATCTGCTCCTTCTATGCCTTGGTGGAGGAGGCATTCGTCTCGGTGGAGATCTTCTTCTAGGAGATGGCCGCCTTCTTGGACTTGGTCGCCTTCTAGGTGAGTATGACCTGCCGCAGCAAACACAATTAGGATCTAAGTTAAGCGAGGAACACGAAATTAATTCCTTCATGTAGTTTTCTTAGCAACTCCATTTACAAAATTGATTTCAAGGGATACAAAGTTCCATTTACAAAGATTTTTATGGTACAGTGTCACATTCTCTGTATATCCAAAGAGTAACATTTGCAGCAAATGTTTTCTACAGCTTTCAAATTATTTACTTGATCCTACCTTGGACAGTAGCACAGAAAACCAAAAATCTATACTGATCTTAAAACCACAATTCACCTTGATCGAGATCTGTGACGCCGTCTAGGCCGAGTATGAGAAGGAGAGCGAGAACGTGTCCGGGACCTTGATTTAGAACGTGATCGAGATCTTGGTCGGGTCTTTTCCTTTTCCTTTTCTTTTTTTGAATTTTTCTCTGGAGAAGGTTCTTTAGGCTCTGGTAGAGGCTCAGGCTTGGGAACTTTCAGGATGTCACTGCAGAAACAAAGAACTTATTTTCTCCCTTCTGCTCATACAATGATATAGCTCCAAAATACACGTACCAGTGAAATCTAGTGAGCAACTAAAGATTCTAGCCACATACGTTAAGTGCAAAGTTATCCACAATATTGGGAAAATTGTGAGTTATATTATATAAGGTATGTGAAACAATACAAACAACAGATTGATAGCAGAGGTCACCTTTGGGGAATTTTACTTGTATCTTATATAACTTCAATTTATTTTCAGCAAGTTAATTTCAGAGTTAAATCTAAAAGGAAATCAAATAATTTTATTTACTATTTAAAAAAAGAAAAATTTAAAACCAATTTATAAAGATTGTCTATGTACTTGCCTAGTAGAAGTGGCCTCTTGTACTGAAGGCTCTTTTACTTTCACTGATGGCTCTGGGAGCTCTGGAGTTTTTTCCTTTTTTTCTGGTGCAGGGGAAGGACTCCGGCTCTTGGTTCTGTGACGGGGAGATCGAGAATGACTGCGCTTTCTCTCTCTCCTGACAGGGGAAGATCGTCTTCTAGGTGAAGGAGATCTGGATTTGCGTCTAGAATGAAAACAATTTTTTCAGGTTTTTGAAAAATGCAGATTGAGAGAAAGTTGGGATTACTTTTTTTTAGCATGCTACTTTTGTTTATATCTGAGAAGTTCCCTATGGGACAGGCATCCTACCAAATTTGCTTGATATGGAAAGAGCCAAGAGAAAACCAGAAAGGTAAACAAAAGAAGGATAATGTTTTCTAGCATACCAGGGGTAAGAATAAAGCACTGGGGCCTCCCTGGTGTTCAAGGGGTTAAGTCTCAGCACTATGAAGCTATCTGCAGCCACTGCAGCACAAGTTTGATCTCCAGCCAGGAAACTAACCCAAATGGCGCAGCAGAGCTCCCCTGCCTTGCCCGCTGCTCCCCTCAGCAGTGTACTTCAGTCAATCCGCCTGTTTTCGTTTCCCACTGTTTCTGGTGAATGCTCTCACCGCCCCCCCCCCCCCCCCGCCCCTCTGACCTGTACCCCAGTTGTTGTATGCATAAATAAATGTTAAAAACAAAAAAATTAAGCATTGACAAGGGAGTCCAGATTCAGATCCTTAATCATTCCCAGAGATGAAGAAACCCAAAAACTAATTTTTCAGGGAATGAGGATGTTTATAAGTAAAACAATAGCCTACTAATAAATCAAACCCAACAGAACTTATATGCAAACAGATCCAGGGAAAGTTGAGGTATTTCAGAAAAGACTGGAGCAATTAAAGCAGTATGCTCTTCAGGAAAGGAGAGAAACATGTTACACTTGCATTAAAAAAAGAGTTCCTTTTCCTTTTTAATAGTTCCTCTAAAGTTAAAAAAAAAAAAAACCCAGTAGACTTTGTTCATCAATAGTGAGGTAGTTACCACTATTGCTTTGCTCTTAACTACAGAAAAAACACTGCTTTACTTCCCTGATAAGTTTTACTACCTAATATATAAATAAAAGGAAAAATTACCTCCTTCCTTCACTAATACCAGAAAATTTAGAAGGAACAGAATCCCAAAGCTGAAATGCCTAAGAGAATTCTCACTTTTCATCATAAATACTGAGTTGTGGATTTAAAATGATCAAACTCAGTAGAAACTGAGTTGTGGATTTAAAAATGTGAATGTACTGATATCATTGGAAGAAAACAACCTGTTTTAGGTTCAGTACTACCATTAAGAAAAGTACAACAGGAAATTAGTAAGTATATAACATGTATGTTTAAGGGGTACAGATTTCTAGTAAGAGTTAAAGTACATTAAAATAACTAATTAAATGCCATATTTAAACTAAGGCACTATGAAAGACAAGTCTAGATTTTAATTTAGGAATTAAGAGTTGAGTAATACAACATTTTGGAGATAGTTTTTGTAAATGATCTGTCTCAAGCAAAAGATGAAATATTTTAGTCTAGAGGTAATCCACACGTATGATGAAAGAAATTCCCTGAATTGTGCTGCTAAACTGTGTGACTTTAGATGTAAGAAAACCGTAAGACCTAATGTACTTGTAAGACGCAGCGTATGCATCCACTGTATTGTACCTTCTAGGGCTTCGAGACCGCTCCCTTTTTTCTCTGCTGCTTTCTTTTTCTTCCTTATCCCTTTTATCTTTGTCTTCATCTTGTTTTTTCATAGAAGCCAACTTTTCTTGTTCAATCTGCAAAGGTGGAATTTTCAAGGCATGCACATGCCCAACATTTGATTCGAGGTTAAATGTCAACTGAAAACTGTGTACACCAGATAAATACCAATATTTTAACTGTCATTTTATCTACCTCTGCTTTTCAAGTTTTCTTTCTTCATATTATATGCACACGTGAAGATTAGTACTAACTAAATACTTGCTGGAAATGACTTTTAACAGTTTAAGGCTAAAAAAAATCATTTTCACATCCATCTTATTCTTTTGTGATTTAACAAGTACCTATATAAAGAGCCTGTTGTGCTTACCATTTACATTATTTAAGCTTAATTTTAAGCTACACGCACATTTAATACCTACACACACACATAATCTTAAAAAAAACCTGTTATATTACTGGACTGTGATGTTCTAAACTCAGTGTTTGAGGGGGGTGGGGAAGGAGGGCTGAAACAAAAATGAATGTTGAAATATACTATGACAAAGCACAACATACTAATCCTGGCTCAGTCATGCAGCATTTGGAAGTGTCTCATGAGTCTGGATACTACTCTCTCAAAATCAACATTACAAATAAGAAAAGGCTATTATTACCTGTCTCTGTTTTATTTCTTCTTTCTTCAATTCTAAGAAAGCAGAAGGGATTCCAGCGATGTTTTCTTGCGCACTTAAGAGTAGGGGCCACAGTTCTCCCATAAATTCTCTAGCATTTTTTCCATTCAGAAATCCAGTCAGGTTGATTTGCATCATTTTGGAGTCTGGATTCTGCAAAAAGACATGACAGGAAGAGAAACAGGTTACTTCGAAACCAACCAACCAACCAACCAACCAACCTAAAACTCATTTAAAATTAGTATTTTTTAAGTCTACCATAGGGGCTTAGATACATTTATGTTCTTTACTATTTAAAAAATATTTTTTCCTTTAATAGTTTCTCAGCAAATACTCTCTAGCACAGATTACCAAATTCTTTCTCACGCTACCAAAAGCAACAGAGCAGCCTGTTAATCCTTTGTGGATTTCGTAAGTATTTTTAGACTACGTGGCTGTTAGTGGGCCTTACATTTATTAACTTTAAAAACCATCATGGAACATCCACAAATTCTTGCATTTACTAACAAGAAAAGTGTTTGCTTGCCTGGAAATTTTCCCCCAACAAGAAACAGAAAAAGTATATAAACTGTTCACTTCTAACACTATAGATAGCTTTCTATAAAATATCTACTGTCCAATTATGAAAACTAACAAGTTATGCATGCACTCTGTAACTTCTGAAGTCTAAGCTGAAAGTCTGACTTCTACATAAGAAAATTATAACAATGCCTTAAATTCTCAACTGTCCACAAAGGGCTAAGAGGTCAAGATTTCTCAAAAACGACTGGGATTTTTAAATGCTAAATCTGCTGGTCAAGCAACAAGGTCCATATAACAAGCACAGCTCAATAGCACAAAGCAAGTACAGATTCCAGGTGTCTTCAGTTTCTTCTTGGAACCTTGGGGGTTTGGAATCGCCAAGTCCCCTGTAGAGAAAGATGTTCCCTTGGCTTGCTTCCGACTCCCTACTGCAACTCAACCACCTTGAGTTTAATGTTATATCATTTATCTAAATTGCAAAAGACGAACAAGCAATAATGAGTACACAACCATAAAAAAAGATTGTTTAAAAAAAGTTCTAAACTTTAATCTCATGCTCACTACAAGGGGAATACTACCAGATATTTAGGTTCTAAAAATACACTAAAATACAAATCAGTAAATCATTTCTCCAATAGAATCTATCTATAATCATCATTTAAAAAATGTTTTCCCATGTTCCTAGTTTTCTAAGTAAAATGCATACATTATAAAGGAAATGCTTTTTTAAAATTAAATAAGCTTTGAAAGTATTCAATACAAATGTTAACTACCAAATTATTTTTAAAATAGAAATACCTTATCAGTTGAAATGCCAACTGTTCTGTCAAAACACAAGGGTGAACTCTTTAGGAAAAGGATTAATGTAAAAGTAAATTCACATTGATATATATGCCAAAAGGTCATATGGTACATCTTACTGTCCTCTGGGTTGCCAAGGCAAAATAGCAAACTATCTTATAGTAAAAGTATTTCTAAACTTATCAATTCTACCATCATCTCATATTATCACATGTATGAAGAAAGGAACAATTATATCAAACTGGTTCTAACAATGCTACCAAGTTATTTCAGTCTGAAGTTTAACTACAGTATATACAAAAATCCTGTGACTAAAATGGAATTGATGACTAGCTGACATGCAGCTAAAACTAAAGACTTTAGTTCCTTGATTATTTAAAAAACAATATCCAATCAAAATTGCCCCTCATGCTTCACATAAATGTCCATCTCATCATAGTATTTTTAAAGAGCAGTGTATAGAATTACCCAGTTGCTCTTTCCTGTCTGTGTTTTTTGTTGTTGTTGTTGATGTTTGGCCACTTTACACAACTCACCTCCAAACACACACTGCATCATCAAGGGAGTTGGGTCAGAGCGACATTGGGACACTCACTCTGCTGTGACCTAATAAGGTGATGGTGCTATACTTCAGACGCAAGGAATAACTTCCATTTTGGTTCAGGCCTTTTAAATCATAAATCACATTATCATTAGAAAATTGCTGTCAAAGTAACTTAACATGTAACAGCAAAATTACAAACAATAAGTTTGATTTTCACCTGTGTAGCTTTCAAAACTATGCACCTTCACTAAACTTGCAGCCTTAATAGTTGTTTACAAAGTGAATTTTTTTCACAACAAACATTGCAAAATAACCCTCTTATATTTGTATTCCATAGAAAAATCAGTTTTCATAGACTCACAAAATTATGTCACATATTCAGAAATAAGAGTCATTTGTTTATTATTACCTTCACTTCCAGCTGGTTGAATATAAACTCAATCACAACATCATCTTCAAACCCAAGGATTTCCGTTACTCGTTTTGTTATCCAAGGCTTTATAACCTCCAAATTTACTTTGCTCATGTCCACCTGATGAAACATTCAAACAATTATTGTATACTTCACAATTTTAAAAGAAAGTTCACGTAAGTTTTATTCAACAAATTTCATTTTAATATATACACATAAATAATGTTTAGCATAGTAAAATTTGGCTCATTCTTATTTATGCCATTGGGTGTGTGTTACTGCTAAACTTGTGATTTTCTTAGCACTCACGTTACAGTGCATCTCTAAAGTACCTGAATTCCACTGTCTGAGTTAACTGCTATATTACCAAATACATTAACTGCTATATAGGGCTAAAGAGTTATATCCAGAATACCTTTTTTTCTAGACATTCTGCAAATTTCAGCTGCTTCAAGAGCTTCTTCTGCTTGTTGCTGAACCGATTATCCTGTTCTGCACTTGTTCCCTAGAAGAGAAAAAACACATTTTAATAGTCTAAAATTAAATTCCTACTTTTTGTCTGCTAATGATGGCTATCTCTGTGGTCAAGATAGGGCAATCAAGTACGGACACTATAACTAATATTCACAGATGTCGAATGCATACTTTTTTCCCCAGTGTAGCTGATTTCTAAAAACTTGGCTATATTTAAAAAGTATGAAATACAGGCACATTTCATTTTTTTTTAAAGATTTATTTATGCATACAAGAGCTGGGGAACAGGCCAGAGGTGCGGGGGGTGAGAGGATCCACCAGAGACAGAGTAGAAAACAGAACAGGCAGATTGACTGAAATACACTGCTGAGGGGAGCAGCGGGCGAGATAGGAGAGGTCTGCCTCGCCATGCGGGTTGCTCCCTGGCCGGCCAGGGCTGGAACTCACGCTGCAGAGGCTGCGGATTGCTTCATAGTGAGGTGCTTAACCCCTTGCACCACCAGGGAAGCCCTATAGGCACATTTTTAATAAATCAAACAATATAGCAATACACAGCATAAAGCTAACACCTTCCCTATAAGCAATGGTTTAATTTGACGCATATCCTTTTATGCTAACAGACATTAAAAACTGCTTCTATATTACACAAACATTCAACTTTTTAGTTATTTAAATGAGAACACAGACTTATTTACTATGCTTAATATAGAAAGACCAAGTTTCACCCTCTTCTGAAAGCCAGTAGCATGACTGCGAAAAAGGAGAAAACGGAAAAATTGAACACCTAAATTTACCGTAATAAATTCAATCTCAGCAAAGAATTTGGAAAAGTGAGTGCTTACAAATACTATCAGATCATCAGCGAGCACTGTGTTTCTGTGATGTCTGTGTTTTCATCATTCCTACTGGTTCAATTACATGCAGAAATAACTGGCCATGTGATATGAAATCTACTGATTGATATATCAAAGCAAATTACTTAACCTGAGAATGTTTCTTTACTTGCTAAAATCTACCCAGTAGGGTTGTGTAATATCAGAAACTACATATACTTAGTACTAGGTATATATATATGCACAGTAGCTTTCAGCAAATGAAACCTACCATTTCTATCTTAATTGAAAATTCAGTTTACTATCTGGCTGGTAGTGTACTGACAAAGATAACTGGTCTGCAATCTTTTAACTCAAGAGTTAAATCCAGTTAACTCCTCTAAGAAACGGTAGGCTGTACATAAAATACTGCATCCCTTTCTTCCAGATTTTTCTAACACCAAAAGCAAACTTCGTTTTAAAATTTATCAACCATCTTGCTCTTCTTCTATTGGAACACCTTCCCAGGGGAAATAACAAAAATCAGAATAGATCTCTTTTAAATATACTTGGACCACAGGATTTACTTATCACAAAATGCTTTGATGAAAATCACAAAATAAGAGTTCAGTAGTGTGAAAATTTGATAAGCTCAATTGAAAATGTCACTCCATAAATAAATATACTATTGTTTGCACAACCTAAATAACCGCCCTTTTAAAGTCAAAAGTCTGGAATAATATCGCAACTTTTGATGAAAAAAATACTTGGCATATTTACATCCAATTGAAAATTTTCAATGCCAGTTATGGACTTTTCAAGACATGTTACTTTAAATCCTCAGCTGCTCCTCTTCCAACTTTTCCTCCAAACACGCAAACATTATTATATGCTCCAGGGAGTGGAAAGGGCCAACCTACATTCCATGAAGTAAAGATATAGATTTTTACTTAAGATCATCTGCTCTCTGTATGGTCCGCTCTGCGTAATAAAAATGTGCAAGCTGTAGCCCAGTTAGTCCACTCAGATCGGGATGCTCCTTCCCTACAGGAGGGGAACACGGCACGCACAGGCCCCAGCACCAGCCTGATAAAGTCTGGGCCCTAAGGGCCAACTACGGCAAGGTAAGCAGGCCGCTTTGCAGAAGGGCGCGCAGTCCTGGGAGAAAGAGGCACCTTTTCTCGCCCAGACTTGGAAAAAGTGAAACAAACGGGGGTGGGGGTGGGGAACACAACGAGATGGAGAGTCGTTGAGCCACCCTGGCCTGCACAAACGCGCACACTTCTTGTTGCACACACGGCCCTCAGATCAAACGTCCTAACCACGTATTATCTGAGTTTCCCTCCCTGCAGGGCTATCAAATTGGGCGGGAGTTCCCGCGAACTCTGACCCCACGCTTTCGCGAAGGCTTAGGACTGGGGGGCTGGGGGGGCTGCTCGGCGCCCGCTTTTTCAAGAAATGCCGCTCAACGCTGTTTTTCGTCCTCTTAACACTCTGCCCTGGGGCGTCACCCCCCAAACCCACTCTCTCCAAGACCCTCCCGCCGCCAGTCACCTCAGGCTCTCCCTCCGGTCTCCCCCCCGAGACTTCCTCCTCGCGGCTCCGCTAGGCCCCAGGGCTCGGCGGCACGCGCGGCTCGGCCTGCAGGCCCCGCTAGGCAGGGGGGTGGCGAGGTACCGCTTCGGCCCATTCCCGCCGCCATTTTCCGGCGACCGTCGCCGCCGCGTAGGGGGGAAGATCCCGGAGGAGGAGACTGCGCAGGGGCGCACCGGTCTCCGCCGCAGGGCAAGGGGGAACCCTTCCCCGGCACGCAGGAGCCCCACAATCTTCGAAGGCTCCCCATCGCGGGTCACCCCGTTCCGAGTTTAGGCCTCCCGCGGGGCCTTACCGATAAGCCCCTCACCTCACCCCAGATCCCCGCGCTTCTACTTACGCGGAAGAATCCCGCGTCCATCTTGCAGCCTCGCTCGGAGATCGCTCCCTATCCCAAGGTGCACCGCGCCGCCTCGACGGAGGGCGGGACTGGCAGGGAAAGCCGAGCGCCCGGACGCTGCGCGCGCCGCCCCACCCGCCCCTCCAGCCGACACGAGGCCGCGCCTGCTCAGTACGGGGCGCGCAGACACGTGTGCGCACGCGCACCCAGGGGGGCGGGCTACTACCGGGCACCGAGGCTCCCCAGTAGCCAGTGCGGCTAGAGAGCCTCAAGACCTCAGCCAATGGGAGCAAAAGAGAGAGTGTCGTCGGGTCGCCCCGCCCCGCGAATCCTTTTGTGGCGCGTGACGAGCCTTGTTCGCGCAGCGCGGCTTGACCCCTCCTTCGACCCGTAGGGGAGGGCGCCTCCCGCCCTCGGGGTTCCATGGAGCGCTGGAGGAGAAAAGCTGTTACCTCAGAGTGACGCTGGTGCAAACGAGAATCCTGCAGCCTCCCCTGTCGTTATAAAAGTTGTAATTATATTGATTTTACTAAAGCAGCTGGCTATCTAGGAGGAGTGAAGTCCGCGTTCCGGCCCAGGGGCCTCGGCCTTCCCCCCTCTGCACACAACTCACTCGTTTGGGGAGCAGCTGGGACGCCCCCTAGACGAGTTTGGGTTTCGGGTGCCCGGCAACCTCGAGAAAGGGCCGGAAGCCGAGGAGGGGCCGGCGCGGGTCGGGCCGGGCTGCGACGGAGACGCAGGGGCGCCGCATGGCGGTCGCCGGGCCTGCCCTGCCCTGGCCGGAGGCCCCGCGTCGGCTGCGCCTCGCCTGCTTCCTGTCAGGCGCTTCCTTTCCCCGAAAGGCCTTTCGCCCTTTTTAGTAAAATAAACCACGTCCACGAACACCTGTTTTCCTGCTTTCTTCACGGTGCTCGTCGCACCTGAAACAATGTGTTTGTTCACTCTGGTGGCTGTAGAGACCAGCTCCCTGCGGAGGACTTGCCCGGCTCCAGCTTGTGCTCCGGCCCCTGCAGGGGCCGGGGAGGCGGCGCTGACTGCGCGGAACGGGGACGAGCTGCTGCTTCCTGCACGCTCTCTCGGCCCCTCCAGCTCGGCCCCTCCAGCCAGCCACGGGCCCCAGCCCCCCTACCAGAACCCGCTGCTTCTCCCTTAGTCCTTTTGCTTAGGACCAAGGCTTTTGTTCTTGATTCCACTTTCTCTGACCTCCCACTTCTGAGCTATAAAGATCCCTGCTCTGCTGCAGTCCTGGTGCAAGTCACCTTCACCTCTCGCCTGAACTGCGCTAGATTTAACTGGTCTCCCTGCTTCTGCCCTGGCCACTCTGCATCTATTCCAAATGTGGCAGTCAGAGAGACACTGTTAGAAAACCTTAGATATGCCACACTCTTCTGCTCAGAACCTTCCAGTGGCCCTTCATTTTCCTGTGAATGAACTTCCGCCTACCTGATGCCCATCTGTTTCTTCTCTGATTTCAGCTGCTAGTACCCTAGTCTGCTCACTACCCTCTGGGCCGCCTAAGCTTGCTCCATCCTTTAGGCTTTTTCACTGGTGGTTAACTTCTGCCCACAATGCTCGACCACAGATATTGGCAAATTTCAAGTTTTTGGTCATGTCTCCCTGGCTACCCCTTAATACACTCAGGTTTGTTTTTGTTTTTTTTCTGCAGCATTTACCACCTAATGTTTGTTTACCCATCTTTAATGTTTATTTCTGTTCTCCATCCTAGAATATAAGCTCCTTAAAATCAGGGCTTTTGTCTTTTTTGCTCACTGATGTGTCCCTAGCACCTAGAACAGTGTCTGGTACTTTGTGTAGTAAATTTTGTTGAATGAACCAAAGATTTGTCAGAGTCAAAGGTGAGGAAGTGAAGTAACTGGTTTTCACAGAACAAGCCACTTGACTAGAGAGAACTATGAAATCACAATGCCCCACATCCCACTGATGCTTCCCTGTAGTTCTAATCAGTCATTCTGTTGTATCCTTCCTTCACTGTCAATCCTGTAAATAAAGGTTGTGGGTTTTTTTTTGTGGCTTTCATTGGCCCTTTTCACTTTTTCTCAACATATGACCTATCTGCCCTCTCTGTTGGTTTTCATTACCTTCTTACCTCCCAAGATGATAAATGTCAGGTGCAGGTCTGGTCCAGGCCTATATTTTCTTTTTTTTTTTTTTTTAAAAAAAAAAAGATTATTTATGCATACCAGAACTGGGGTACAGGCCAGAGGTACGGGTGGGGTGGGGGTGAGAGGATTCACCAGAGACAGAGCGGGGAACAGAACAGGCAGACTGACTGAAATACAGTGCTGAGGGGAGCAGTGGGCGAGTCAGGAGAGGTCTGCTGCTCCATGTGGGTAGCTCCCTGGCTGGCCTGGGATGGAACTCGTGCTGCAGATTGCTTGATAGTGTGGTGCTTAACCCCTTGTGCCACCAGGGAGGCCCACCAGGCCTATATTTTCAAATTGCTGCTAACATTCACTTACCTGCCCTACAGGCAGCTCAAAGTCAACATGTCCCGAACTGAATTCATTTTCTTCCACTCGCCTCTGTTTTCCCCTTCTCAGTGAATGCACCCACCTTTCTCCTGTCATCATCCTCTCTTCTCGACACGGCAATCACCAACTTTTGCTTCTCAACACTTTCTGACTGTCTTAACACGTATTAGCTATAAATCTGTAGACTTGGGTCCCATTTCCTTGTTAATGTCGGCAATTTAGATTATTGAATGGCTCATTGGAACAATCTCTCAGCCATTTCCCCTGCTTTCAGGGTTGATACCTCCACTTTAAATCCAGAGTGATTTTCTGAAATGATAATCTTGATCCTCACTCCACAGGTTAAAGCTTTTCAGTGGTTGCCCACCATGCTCCAAATAAAAATGAGCTAGTTACTCTGGCCTACAGAATCCCTTATGATTTGTTTCCTGCTCCCTTCTCCAGCCTCTTAGATAAGTTCTCCCCATTCCCCATCTATCACTTCTAAACTGAAGCCACACTGAGTTACAGACACTTGTCTAATTAGGAACAGGTTGGGTTTTAAAAGTCAGTTTTTTAAAAAAAGATTTATGCATTCAAGAGCTGGGGTGTAGACCGGGGTGCAGGGTTGGGGGTGGGTGGGAGGAGGGTATGGAGTATTCACCAGAGAGAGTGGAGAACAGAACAGGAGGATCTACTGAAGTACACTGCTGAGGGGCGCAGTGGGCGAGGCGGGAGAGGTCTGCTGCGCCTTGTGGGTCAGTCAGCTCCCTGGCCAGGGATGGAACTCGTGCTGCAGGGGCTGTGAGTAGCTTCATAGTGCTGAGATGTAATACCTTGCGCCACCGTGGAGACCCTAAAAGTCAGTTTCTTGTCTGTTTCTTGCTAACCCTAAAGCAACTCCGAGGTGACTCAAATGCTCCCTCTTCACACAAGTTTTTTTTGACCAGCCTTCCAAAAGTAGCAGGCATTCTGTCCCCCCCTCCACTCTATCCTACCCTGCTTTATTTTTCTTCATAGCACTTAACAGTGCCTGACTTTGCTACCATTTATGTGTTTACTGTCTATTCCCCCATTTTAAAAATTCTCTGTGAGGGCAAAAAAATTCTTTGTTGACCATTAAAACTTTAGTGTCTAGAATGGTATTTAGCACATTCCTGAAGCTCAATAAATAGTTGAGTGAATCTGTGAGTGAGAGTAAGGGTCAGTTATCAATGAGAGAATCTGGCCTTTGAAATGATATATAACCATGAATTCTATCAGGAAGCGTCTACGTTGAAAAATCTGCAGCAGCAGATAAATCTCCCTGGAGAACTACATGACAGCAAAGGTGTCTGTAAACACCGTCTCCTGTTCACCTTGGTGCTGTGACCAAAACAGGTCTTAAGGCCAAGAAGCCATCTCCAATGAGCTACTGTGGCTCTTTGCTAGGTCTGGCCTTTAAGACCTCAGCCACTGAGCCTCAAGAAACTAATAGGCATTCAACCTTCATTCTCATCCTTTAGGCACTGATCTAAAGACATCTCCATTTTTGTCAACTGCTTTTCCTCATTGCTTGCTGCTTGCTATTGATATCATAGATGTTTCAACAGTCGCCACCCACTCTGATCTTCAGAATCAGTCCCATAGAAAACACTCATCTCAGCAGGTACAGATTTTGTAATTTTCTTAATACTTTCAAATTTTATTATTTCCGGGCCTCCCTAGTGGTGCAAGGGATTAAGCACCGCACTATGAAGCAATCTGCAGCCTCTGTAAGATGAATTTGATACCCGGCTGGCCAGGGAGAAACCCACATAGCAGCGCAGCAGACCTCTCCTGTCTCCCTGCTGCTCCCCTCAGCAGTGTATTTCAGTCAGTCTGCCTGTTCTGCTCCCCACTTTGTCTCTGGTGGATCCTCTTGCCTTCCCCTCCTCCCACCTACCGCATCTCTGCCTGTATCCCAGCTCTTGTATGCATAAATAAATATTTTTTAAAGATTTATTTATATAAGCACTGGGTACAGTCAGAAGCGCAGGAGGGTGAGAGGATTCACCAGAGACAGAGCGGAGAGCAGAACAGGCAGACTGACAAAATACACTGCTAAGGGGAGCAGCTGGGCGGCAGGAGAGGTCTGCGCGCCATGTGGTACCCTCGCCCAGCGGCCTGGGATCGAAGTGGCACTGCGGAGGCTGCGGGCAGCTACGCAACGCACTGCTCAACCTCTGCGCTACCGGGGAGGCCCCATAAATAAATAAATCTTTAAAAAAAATTTATTATTTCCATTTTTTCCCTATCATTTTCCCCCTCCTTTCAACTCTGCTCTGGCATCCTAGATATAGCAGATTAACAATTTTCATAAAATACCTCAAAAACAAATCCCCCCCCCCCAAAAAAGTATACATTAGGGCCTCCCTGGTGGCGCTAGGGGTTAAGACACAACCTAAGAAGCTATCTGCAGCCACTGCAGCACGAGTTCGATCCCTGTCCAGGGAGCTACCCACATGGCACAGCAGACCTCTCCTGTCTCACCCGCTGCTCCCCTCAGCAGTGTATTTCAGTCTGCCTGTTCTGTTCTCCACTCTGTCTATGGTGAATCCTCTCAGGCCCCACACCTCTGGCCTGTACTCCAGTTCTTGTATGCATAAAT